CCCCCCCCCCCCCCCCCCCCCGACTACGGGCCTGGATCGGCTGGTGGCCATAGAGAGGATAGGCCTATATGACGTATCAAAATACATACATACAAATCACATACATATTTTAAAATAGATATCAAACAATACATTGTTAAAATAAAACAAAAGCATTACATACTGCTTAAAGGATAGACCCAAGCACAGGAATCCCGAGGGGGTTGGGGTAGGCTGTGGGGGTCATTAGGGCCTACCTAAATTATTTTACGTCTGCCGTCCAATAACAATATCTTTTTTCCTTCTGAATGCTTACCCTCCCCAACTACCCCCCACCCCACCCCACCCCACACACACACACACAAGCTTATATTCTGCTTCCTGCGCGTCTGGAGAAACAATTGTTTGTCATCGAAAGAGAAACAAGTTGTTGCGCCTGCAAAAAGCGAGAATTTCTGATATGATAGAATGATGCAAGGTGTCAAATTAAACTGCAAAGTTTTCTAGAGTCGCACTTGTAAACCTCTTAACTGGTCTATATCAAAATGATCGTGCAATTTTTTTCTCGAATCATAGATATTTGTGTGCTGTATGCGTATCATATATAGGACGAATTCTTTTTATGTATAACTGCGTATTTGCAATAAACAGTCAGTTCTGAAAGTTGTTTTCGTGAATCAGAGCTATGGGTATTGGGGTATTGCTTCTCATGTTTTAATGACGTAAAATTCAAATAAGAGAAAAATGCGCTGATCATCCGGTGCTTTCACAACATATCGCATGCAAATATTCCATTATCATTACAAATTGAAAAGGACACGAAATTGTAGTTTTACATATAAATAAATAAATAAATAAACATAGTACAAGACAGAAGGAGTATTTAAATGTGTCTCGTAGAAATATTTCTGCTGGTTCAAGACCACCGTGAAAATTGCATCACTAAACGGAAATAGAATAATTTCTACGTTTCCATTCCTCTCGAACCTTCTTGTCCTTAGAACAATTAATTGCTAAACTACATTTATATTCCATTTGACATTTCCATCTCAAGTCTGATACTACATGTAAAAATATATTCTTTGCCCGCGCGTGTCGTTTCCTGCGACTTTGCCAGCGGCAGCCAGTTTAATTTTTAATTAGCTACAAAGGCAACATGGAATTATTTGTTCTTACGTATATCAAATATCGATCAATCGCTTATCGTGTTGTTTCAATCTCTCCCTCACTCTCTCACTCTCTCTCTTTCTCTCTCTCTCTCTCTCTCTCTCTCTCTCACTCACACGCGCACGCAAAAACGCACGCATGAACGTACGCGCGCAAATACATACAAACACACGCACACACTATCTTTAGAATTTTCGTTTCATTACCAGGTTTTTCTGGGCCACTGAAGACATTTCTCTCGCCTGCAAAAAAGCGAAAATTTCATTGGTGGATATTATATTGCCTTACCACAGTTTCATGAGATTTGCGATATTTTCCATAAAATTATATATTTATAGCATTCACGTTGAAAGGCATGAATGGTAAATTATCCCCCTTTTTCTTTAACACTAAATGTCAACCTAACCTTAATCTTAATTCAAAACACAACAGTCTTTTTTTTGGCAGTTTTTTAATATCCGTCGTCTCGACCGAAGTACAATTATGTGCGTGATATCGACTTTCGAAGTTTTATTCAGATGTTAGACTTAAATTGTTTAAACACAGTATATTAATGTCGCGTAGCGGTAATCGATTTTATGATGCAAAAGATTCGACTTTTTGCCGTAATGGACTTTTAAAAAATATCTTTTATCCGCTGAAACATCGGCCATTTGGATTATGGATCAATATGTTATCAGACTGTATCCCACAATATATACTGTCGTAGATAAATAATAATAATATATTAACATTCAGTACGTAAATTAAAAGGCTAACCATGGTATCACAGTATCAACTTCTATAAAAATCCAGTAGGAAATTAAGGGTGAAAAGAGGATTGAAGATTTAGTTCACCGAAGAGGGTCGGTGCGTGGAGGCAGCTTCATATTCCTTCCCTCTTCATAATCTTTTCCAATTGTCAGCAACAACCCTGGGTGCCTCTGAAAGATCAGACAGGGTCTCAAATTCATATTAAGGCATCCTCAGAAGTAAAACTGCAAAAACCTTTGAAAAAATTAACACGCTGGAACTACAGTGTACGTACTAATGTGAGTTTGTTTTGATTATCTTTCCTCTTGGGATATCACTGAAAGCTTCTTTTTATAATTGTTCTCGCCGCATTGACGTAAAGCTCTAGCTCATATTACACAACGTATCGAACATGAGTTACTGAATGAAGAACACTGACCGCGCTATACGATATATATCAATATTACACCCGATGGAGCTGAATCACAACAAAGGATAACAGTAGCTTCATATTTACAATAAGCTGCACCTTAAAACAAGTATTAAGCTTGAAGTCAACGCTTATAACGGTTATTAGGCATTCCCTTTAAACTGGCAGTCCTAATGCCGGATTTATTTCACTCAGATGAAATGATAAAATATTAAGAAGTAGGCTTGTATTTTGTACTGTTATTGATTTAATCATTATATTTGCGTGGATATAGACAATACAGCCCATCATTATTCCACCTTCCCCATTCTGCCTATCTGGAATTAAAATGCGCAAATAACGCATCCAGTAGAGGTGAGCATACTTCAAATATATTAGGCCTCCTTTCATGATCAACAGACAGCATGTGGATGACAATTTGGATTAGCTGGGTGTTTCTAACACCTTTGTCTTCCATTGCTTTCTGTATCTGTAAAGGTGTGGCTTCTTCTATGTCTTGATCATTGATTATCGGCACCAGCATTTCCTTCTCTACTGCCCACAGACACTGTGCCGTCGTTTCCAATATCGATCCAAGTAAAAGCATTCCCAGCGAGTAAATATCACATTTGTCCGTAACAATCTTCAATTCTCTTACCTCAGGGGCTGTGTAAAATGGGGGTCCGAAGCTGTGCGAGGTTTTGGTATAGTACGATGTCGGGAGGGTGGTATTAGCTTCCCAAATGTGTGCCAAGCCAAAATCTGCCACTTTACACCGAGTGACAATCCCTTCCCCTCCTTCAAATCCACTCACGAATATATTGTCGGGTTTAAGATTGCGGTGCAACAAGTTTTTTGAATGCAGGTATTGTAATGCATTGGCGACGTCTAATATGAGCTTAAGCTTTAAAGAAACGTCTATCTTAGGAACAGAGCTTAGGATGTAATCATTTAAGGTTGGACCTGTACAAAAATCTATCACGTACCATACAAAGTCCGGTTTCTTATGATCCTCGCTGACTTCAAGAACCCGTACTAAGTTCGGGTGGGGATGCAGTTGGGATAACATTGCTATCTCAGCCCGAACTACGGGACTGGTTAGATGTACATGCTTCATAGCGCAGTCATTTCCTCGCGGATCCACACCTCGAAAAACAACTCCAAACACCCCTCGGCCTATTTCAGCGGTGATGGTGTAGCCTAGTGGTCCAGTAGTAACTGAATTTCTACGATCGGTAGATCGAACTAAACTCGCTGACGCCATGTTCTTGCGTGAAGCACTGTCGCAACAATATGCAGCTCTATGGGAAAGTTGACGGCTTCAAACTAATCACTGGTAAGCTTAGGGGTTATTGGCAAACGCGTGTGCTTTGGTATAGTATGCCCAATGTGAAGCTTCTGACAAAAGCGTTTTCCCTCCTTATTCATATTTCACCAGTTCAATGATCATCCGGTTTCCTGTGCACGTATCAATTGCAAACACGTGAAATGCTGTATTTTCTTTTTAGCAGAAACCGTCTATGACCTACTTTAAAAGCTCTTATATATAAATATAAAGTTTAAGTCTATATGCGTTGTCTCACACATGGCACATGCACAATAAATCTAAGCGTAATCGAAATATAAATACTGTGAATTAAATGTTTTCGAAGGCAGGTAAATAGGGGGGTAAGCTGTCCTCATGACGTCATGGTAAAGCATTGAATTATCACAAAACGGGTAAAGGTAGACTGCAGAAGGCTTTTTTGATCAACTAAACGGTTTTGTAGCGGTAGTTGCCCAGCGGGTTGTAGGCTTATATCGTGAACACTTGTCAGCCTTGCTTGTATGGTGCATGTAAGCATGTGTTTCCCCTTTTCTATATTCTTCCATGAAACCTTGCACCTGCTTACCCCAGGTATGTGTACTTGCGGCAGGTACAGTCAACTGCACTCTCTTATTATTTGCGATTATCGTAAAGTAAGAGAAGTAATCACGCCACCGTTTCCCTCTAGGTACGAGACAGCCATTTGTCACGATGTCACTCACTGCGCTGTACATTATCTCTCTTTCCAAGAATCTTTGCATACNAATGTGTGCCAAGCCAAAATCTGCCACTTTACACCGAGTGACAATCCCTTCCCCTCCTTCAAATCCACTCACGAATATATTGTCGGGTTTAAGATTGCGGTGCAACAAGTTTTTTGAATGCAGGTATTGTAATGCATTGGCGACGTCTAGTATGAGCTTAAGCTTTAAAGAAACGTCTATCTTAGGAACAGAGCTTAGGATGTAATCATTTAAGGTTGGACCTGTACAAAAATCTATCACGTACCATACAAAGTCCGGTTTCTTATGATCCTCGCTGACTTCAAGAACCCGTACTAAGTTCGGGTGGGGATGCAGTTGGGATAACATTGCTATCTCAGCCCGAACTACGGGACTGGTTAGATGTACATGCTTCATAGCGCAGTCATTTCCTCGCGGATCCACACCTCGAAAAACAACTCCAAACACCCCTCGGCCTATTTCAGCGGTGATGGTGTAGCCTAGTGGTCCAGTAGTAACTGAATTTCTACGATCGGTAGATCGAACTAAACTCGCTGACGCCATGTTCTTGCGTGAAGCACTGTCACAACAATATGCAGCTCTATGGGAAAGTTGACGGCTTCAAACTAATCACTGGTAAGCTTAGGGCATTCGGGGTTATTGGAAAACGCGTGTGCTTTGGTATAGTATGCCCAATGTGAAGCTTCTGACAAAAGTGTTTTCCCTCCTTATTCATATTTCACCAGTTCAATGATCATCCGGTTTCCTGTGCACGTATCAATTGCAAACAAATGAAATGCTGTATTTTCTTTTTAGCAGAAACCGTCTATGACCTACTTTAAAAGCTCTTATATATAAATATAAAGTTTAAGTCTATATGCGTTGTCTCACACATGGCACATGCACAATAAATCTAAGCGTAATCGAAATATAAATACTGTGAATTAAATGTTTTCGAAGGCAGGTAAATAGGGGGGTAAGCTGTCCTCATGACGTCATGGTAAAGCATTGAATTATCACAAAGTTGGGTAAAGGTAGACTGCAGAAGGCTTTTTTGATCAACTAAACGTTTTTGTAGCGGTAGTTGCTCAGCGGGTTGTAGGCTTATATCGTCAACACTTGTCAGCCTTGCTTGTATGGTGCATGTAAGCATGTGTTTCCCCTTTTCTATATTCTTCCATGAAACCTTGCACCTGCTTACCCCAGGTACGTGTACTTGCGGCAGGTACAGTCAACTGCACTCTCTTATTATTTGCGATTATCGTAAAGTAAGAGAAGTAATCACGCCACCGTTTCCCTCTAGGTACGAGACAGCCAGTTGTCACGATGTCACTCACTGCGCTGTACATTATCTCTCTTTCCAAGAATCTTTGCATATGAATAAGCTGACCTGGAGTACTTCACATCAACAGGCGTCAGAACCCCCCCCCCCTTTCACCCGCACGCACGCACAGAGGCTTTGTAACCACTTTAGGCAGAATGATTTATGACGCGCTTGTCAAATTCGATTTGGAGATATGCAGTTACTTCAGGCGTAAATGATTTTTTTTCACAACCTTGGTGCTACTTTTTTTTACCTTAACGCATCGACGTCTTAGAAACTAGACTGAAATCTATGAAAGCTAATCAAATGCTGTAGGTGTGCCCTGTAATAGTTTTCATTATTTTATTGGTTTTTGTATGAATTGATATTTAAAGAGTGTTTTTATTTTACTGAATTCATCATTAGATCGTTATTCCTCCTAATTCTCAATTTTTTAATGTTTTTTGGTCTAGGTTTGGATGGTCGTGAAACGTATGGGCTATGTTTTCCATTGTGATTTGTAAACCCCAGGCAGCGCGACTTTGATGGTTGAGGTCCAAGCAAATGTTTTAATCTTACCCTTGGACATACAGCACATACTAACAACCCAGTGGTCTGATGGTTTGCTGGTTGCCCTTAGTGCAAGAACAGCCCAAAGTAAGCTACATGTACAGCTTCTCCACCTGTCCTTCAGAGAAGACGCTTTTAAGGTTCTCTACCGACACACCTGGTAGAGTGCAGGTCCTCCTTGACTGTAGTCTTGCAGGAACCACCGATGCCTATGAGGTTGTGTTTCATCTGTCGCAATTGCAGATGTACAAAACGATCCGCAGACAATCATGTTATTTTCTTGTTTAAGGCATCCTATCTATATCGGGTCAAATATTATGTTAAAAAAACATTTTCTCCTTATTGCGTATCATTGCTAGCCCCGCCCTTGCTCATAGATGGGATGTTTTGCACGATTTATAATAAAATAATTTTGCTGGTAATGAGTTTTTTCCCTGTCACTTATGAAAAATTGAGAAAAATTAACATCTGGTGTTTCTAAATAAGGAGTTTCGTCGTTTTAATAGGACAGAAAATCAGCTTGCAGGATATGAATTTGGGACATTTTTAAACGTGAACTGAACCTCTGAGTGATCTTTGTAATGGTTTTAAAAGGTTATTTAAATGGGACAACGAAATAGATGTAATGAATAGAACCCTTTTATTACACAGAATTGAAATTTAATGTGAATTTTTTTCCCCGACTTTTGCCCTCTAGCAAATGGGAGGCAGTTGGTTTCCAAAATATTCATGTATTTGATCTGGCTCAGGTTTCCATCGTTGACTGCCAATGAGGTTTTGGCATCAACATGCATTCCGCCCCAAATACAGATGCTTCCACCGCCCCCAGTCGCTCTAGGAGCGACACACGCTTCGTCGTAGGCCTGTTCCGGATGACTGTGAACTCTACTTTGACTTTGGGGTCACAGTTGAAATCTGATTTTGTAAGTTGAAATCTGACTTTATAGTCCAGTGTTGTGCCCCTTGCTATAACTTGCATATTATTCAAGGGTCACAACAACTCAGATAAGGGTATTACTAGCACTTTACTTTCTACAACTTAAATTTATGTTCCTTTAAACTTCTCGACTAATCGGAGACACGAAAAGTGCGACTGATAAATGATTGCAAGTACCTCAGGTAAAGTCTGCATGAAAATTGCAGTGTTTGCCGCTGCCCACTCGGCCATTGGTCTTGGTCACGGCGACCTCTCGCGAAGAGGCCGTTTGTTGAAGACGTTCGTACATCTAATATAACACAGATGTTTTCGTAAATACTCGTTTCTTTAAGACATGTGGAGAACGTCTTGATAAGAAAATCGATATCAAGACTTTTGAGAAACTTCATAAGGACGTATGGGAGATCAGATCATAGATAAGGTCTTCTCAGGTCCTCTGTGAAGTGAATATCTAACTCGAGCACACATTTGCAAAACATTGTAACCGTTGAAAAAATGTAGGTAAAGATTATTACTTACCGAAATTTCAAAATTTTAGTGAAACTTATTTCCTTTTATATATTTTACTCCAATTATTTATCTTTTGACAAAAATATCATAACCCCGTAAAAATCGATCAAGGTGCTGTGTTTCCTGATTAAATCTTTTCTGAACAGTTGCAAAAATTGACAGTTGATTCATCTGGTTGGATTTTCATCCGTTATAAATCTTACGCATCTCTGTTTTGTTAAAGTAATCGAAATATCTTTAAAAGATATTACTTGATAAATTGATAAAACCTTTGACTTCATGTTATTGTCAGGGTCGTCATTTTAAAGCGAAGTTTATGTTATTGCTTGTAATTCCTGAATCAAAAAACTTTTGGCATTTGTCTTCATCGGGGACAGCTCGACAGTTTGAGACACATTGTGTAACACTCATTTCTTGAAATAATTGCATTTCTTGAAATAAAAAATGGTCTAAATCACAAGGCGAGCAGTGGAAATAGGTTAGTGTTTCGCTATACCACATCTTAAGAAATAAAAATTTCTATGCTTAATAAATCTGAAACTTAATTTAGTTCCTTAATCGTTCACTTTTAAATTTATCGAAATTCGATAACCGACACAACTGTCTGAACTCCTTTTTTAAAGGAGCACAAATAATGGGATTTTTTTTTATTTTAAGGTGGAACAATGTGAAGTTACATGTTAACTGGTGCGTGTCTCTGTTGGGAGTAGAAGAAAGAAGTTACTAGTGCGTGAATCCTCCAACAAAAATTTAACACAGTAGTCGCATCCTTCTTATTACTTGAATCACTTGAAATCGAAACATAGGAAGAAGAGCCAAACAGGGGTAAGTCTGAATCAAGTGTCATAGTGTACGTTTGAAACTATGAGATTGAAACAATGCATATTTTTGATAATTGATATAGAGGCTGTGGAAGAATTCAGGCATATTCTACCTGCGAGGGGAAGTAGTTTACCTCAGTTCACTCGTCATTTATGCAGCGAGAATTAAACTGATTGATACGAAGCAAGTAAAATGAACTACAATAAAAAAAGAAATAATTAAAATAAAAAGATACTTAAGATTAAGTGAAGGTGTCGTACCCGATGGAGACACACAATTTATGTGTACATCAGGAGACCTTAGCTATTCGAAAAGAACGGTCCTTTAAAAGTGGGATATTTTCAATTCTCATCTGTGAAAACTGATACACCGATAAAAACTGCTTTAATTTAAAAGCAAGTCTTTCTGCACCTGGGTCAGGCGAAATCAAAATGGGACTCGATTAAGATTGAGGTAGTAAATTAGGGTAGTTTTCACTTGGGGAAAACCGTGTTCTTTTCAAGTAGCTGTCGTGCAGCGTGGGTTATCATCGGTGCGTGTGTCTCCATTTTCAGATCCAAAGTCAATTGAATACTCTTTAAGCGGAGAGAATTATTATAAAGATGAAAAAAAAAACAAAAAACTACATATATCCCGCAGCAAGCAAACGGCGTGTTTCTGGCTTTAAATCACGTTCAACTCCACAGCTCGTCAAAGGCGCTGTGACAAGTCTCATATTAATCTGATCTAATAAAATCGGTAGGTCACAATACAATCATTTTTTAAATTAGCAATAGGTGATTTAAACGTAATGTTTAAAACAGTCGAACATAATGAGTTTTGCGAAAGATGGCGAGCGAAGATCATAATTCGGTCGTGTCAAATGAAATTATTGATTATCATATATAACATGTCTCTTGAATGGATGCGAAATGTTGAGTGTATCATCGAAAGTGCCATTAAGGTCAGTTAATTTCGCCAGCAAGCCGTTTTTTTCTTTTTATATTCGTAGTTTCGCACTATAAACGCTTATCGATTTTTTCCTGTTTTATATGTATGTGATCTGCCACACATGGCAATGGCCAAAGGAGTACGAGGTATGACAAACTCAACGACCCGCGTGATACTTTCATACACCTTATACAATGTAAAAGCGTTTTATATTTCAAGATACTGTTCTTTAGTCCCTTAACACACATTCCCACAGAAAAGGTGAAGTGACCGATTCCTGTACTAATCGGTAGTAAAAGGTGATACATGGGATTCCCATTGCACCTTCCGCAAATCTTGCGAAAGGAATGATGAAAATTAATCAAGGATAAGGAAACTTAAAATAAAATGATGGATTTTTATAAATAAATTAAAGGAAGTTACTATCAATTTATTGGTATAAAAGACTGAATATTTTGCAGTATATGCATTGGATAGATTTGAAATAACTCTAATGAGAATGAGAGTCCAGGGTAAGTGTAAACGATTAATTGCAATCACAGATTAAGGACTAGTAAGGAACAAACGGGTTACTTTTGAGTCAGTTGTATGTATTAACTCTGATTTAAAACGATCTTTTAAATATTTTCATTCAGGTTTCCCCTTAAGAAGGAAGTGGTGGGTAAAGGGAGCTTAATCCATATTTTTTTATGTTTTTGTGTGTTTGTGATAACCAAAAACGTATCTAACGTTGTATAAAATCATCTATCTGATCGTGGGGTCAACAATAACAGGTAAAGCTGTCAACTAAGTTATTTATCATTAACCTATGTTTGCCTGCCCGTGAACATTTTTTCGCCGTTTTATACCTTTACAGATTGAACAAGCTATGATAAATATGTTTCGTGTAATAACTACGGAATTCACTGTACTTTTTAAGAAGTATATGGACTCTTGATAGGTATCGCATACTGTCGACGTATATGTTTGTTTCTAAGTTATTGCCAGTCCATTGTAATATGGAGTGATTTCATGTAAAAGTACATAAAATCAGGCATTAAAAAATATCCCTTTGTACACAAATGTTTTGTCTTTTAGGTAATTTTGGCAGTTTTGGCAGAAAACCCCAAAACCAAAAACGTTATTTCCTCCCAAAAATGACAAATTGGCACCACTCGATTTTATTCATTTTCTCTTAACTTCAGATCAGATTTGAATATCTACATGGTTAAAAAGCAGAAAAGGATACGACTCTTATAGCCCATTAACAGTTCATTAATGGAAATAGCCACAATGCACTTTGACACGGTTATTTTTGTTGTTTACGCTACACAAAGTATACGCTGTAGGCCCCCTATATTGTGATAAAAAAATCAATGTACCGATTTCATGAATAGAACTCCAGCAGCACACAGTGCCAAAAATGTTTTAACAAAAACTGATTCGTTTACCACGCATTAAGGATTGTGGAAACTCGTGTTTTTGTTTCACTACATGTATTAGTGACCCTTTTTTTTACTACTTTTGAAAGAAAGTATGTGTAGAATAGCAGGAGCATTTTACGTCGAAACTTGATATTTGAATAGGTTGGCACCTCCAGGTAAGTTGTACCGCCAGAGGTACGACTCTTTAGAATACTCGATTATAAAATTAGGCACGCGTCCTTGTGATCTAGACAGCCACCTGTATTCAATGTTTGTCAAATTCAGTATGATGGTAACTAAACTCCATTAACACATCCGCCATCAGTTTTATTCGAACCTAAGTGAAACTTAACAGTGCCGTCGGCAATAGCACATCCTGTAACTGTTTTTTTCGCACCTTTTGAGTCTAGCAAAAGAATGTCACATCTAGTTTTAGAATTTTTAATGCCAATGATATTATGCTCCTTCTCGATGAACTGAAAAGATGGGGAGTCTAATAGGGCTGGCATGTCCACGAGAGTATGACACTTTCTACGTTTACATAAAACAAGATCGATATTTGAGCAAAATGTTAGCTGTAGGGAGAGATGGATAAACCGCGATTATACTCTTGTGGTTTTTGAAAGGTTTCGCGTGGAAAGGTGTAATTATGCTAGTGAAGAACGTGAAGAACGTAGTATCAGTGTAAAGAGACAGATGATAACGATGTTTTTTTTTTTTTTTTTTTTTTTTTTTTTTTTTTTTTTTTTTTTAATTCGATTTTTTTTTTTAAAGGGGGGAAATTTTTAAAAAAAAGTTTTGGATTTAATGGGGGTTTAAAANACATTAAACTGATCTAATAAATCGGTAGGTCACAATACAATCATTTTTGAAATTAGCAATAGGTGCCTTAAACGTAATGTTTAAAACAGTCAAACATAATGAGTTTTGCGAAAGATGGCGAGCGAAGATCATAATTCGGTCGTGTCAAATGAAATTATTGATTATCATATATAACATGTCTCTTGAATGGATGCGAAATGTTGAGTGTATCATCGAAAGTGCCATTAAGGTCAGTTAATTTCGCCAGCAAGCCGTTTTTTTCTTTTTATATTCGTAGTTTCGCACTATAAACGCTTATCGATTTTTTCCTGTTTTATATGTATGTGATCTGCCACACATGACAATGGCCAAAGGAGTACGAGGTATGACAAAGTCAACGACCCGCGTGATACTTTCATACACCTTATACAATGTAAAAGCGTTTTATATTTCAAGATACTGTTCTTTAGTCCCTTAACACACATTCCCACAGAAAAGGTGAAGTGACCGATTCCTGTACTAATCGGTAGTAAAAGGTGATACATGGGATTCCCATTGCACCTTCCGCCAATCTTGCGAAAGGAATGATGAAAATTAATCAAGGATAAGGAAACTTAAAATAAAATGATGGATTTTTAAAAATAAATTAAAGGAAGTTAATATCAATTTATTGGTATAAAAGACTGAATATTTTGCAGTATATGCATTGGATAGATTTGAAATAACTCTAATGAGAATGAGAGTCCAGGGTAAGTGTACACGATTAATTGCAATCACAGTTTAAGGACTAGTAAGGAACAAACGGGTTACTTTTGAGTCAGTTGTATGTATTAACTCTGATTTAAAACGATCTTTTAAATATTTTCATTCAAGTTTCCCCTTAAGAAGGAAGGGGTGGGTAAAGGGAGCTAAATCCATATTTTTTTATGTTTTTGTTTGTTTGTGATAACCAAAAACGTATCTAACGTTGTATAAAATCATCTATCTGATCGTGGGGTCAACAATAACAGGTAAAGCTTTCAACTAAGTTATTTATCATCAACCTATATTAGCCTGCATGTGAACATTTTTTCGCCGTTTTATACCTTTAAAGATTGAACAAGCTAAGTTAATATGTTTCGTGTAATAAGTACGGAATTCAGTGTACTTTTTAAGAAGTATACGGACTCTTGATAGGTATCGCATACTGCCGACGTATATGTTTGTTTCTAAGTTATTGCCAGTCCATTGTAATATGGAGTGATTTCATGTAAAAGTACATAAAATCAGATTTACGGCATTTAAAAATATATAATATCCTTTTGTAGTGCTTTCACCTAACTTCATACACAAATGTATTGTCTTTTAGGTAATTTTGGCAGTTTTGGCAGAAAACCACAAAACCAAAAACGTTATTTCCTCCCAAAAATGACAAATTGGCACCACTCGATTTTATCCATTTTCTCTTAACTTCATATCAGATTTGAATATCTACATGCTTAAAAAGCAGAAAAGGATACGACTCTTATAGCCCATTAACAGTTCATTGTGAAGGAAAATAGCCACAATGCACTTTGACGCGGTTATTTTTGTTGTTTACGCTACACAAAGTATACGCTGTATATTGTGATAAAAAACAATCAATGCACCGATTTCATGAATAGAACTCCAGCAGCACACAGTGTCAAAAATGTTTTAACCAAAACTGATTCGTTTACCACACATTAAGGATTGTGGAAACTCGTGTTTTTGTTTCACTACATGTATTAGTGACCTTTTTTTTTACTACTTTTGAAAGAAACTTATGTGTAGAATAGCAGGAGCATTTTACGTCGAAACTTGATATTTGAATAGGTTGGCACCTCGAGGTAAGTTGTACCGCCAGAGGTACGACTCTTTAGAATACTCGATTATAAAATTAGGCACGCGTCCTTGTGATCTAGACAGCCACCTGTATTCAATGTTTGTCAAATTCAGTATGGTGGTAACTAAACTCCATTAACACATCCGCCATCAGTTTTATTCGAACCTAAGTGAAACTTAACAGTGCCGTCGGCAATAGCACATCCTGTAACTGTTTTTTTCGCACCTTTTGAGTCTAGCAAAAGAATGTCACATCTAGTTTTAGAATTTTTAATGCCAATGATATTATGCTCCTTCTCGATGAACTGAAAAGATGGGGAGTCTAATAGGGCTGGCATGTCCACGAGAGTATGACACTTTCTACGTTTACATAAAACAAGATCGATATTTGAGCAAAATGTTAGCTGTAGGGAGAGATGGATAAACCGCGATTATACTCTTGCGGTTTTTGAAAGGTTTCGCGTGGAAAGGTGTAATTATGCTAGTGAAGAACGTGAAGAACGTAGTATCAGTGTAAAGAGACAGATGATAACGATGTTTTTTTGTTTTTTTTTTTTTTTTTGATAATCGAATTTTTTTATGAACGACGAGTAATCGTTAAGAAAAAGTTTTGGCACTTAATGTGGTGTTAGAATAGCCAAAGAAATACCTCTGCATGTGATAACTATTTTTCTTTGAATGGTCTAATTGATACCTATTGTATACATTTCACGTAACAAATAGAAGATGACAAAATATAAATGGTACAATTAAAGAACACAGTCAGGACATAATGTAGAGTGTCGAATAAGTAATTTCAGCTCAAATTTACAGTTTTCTCTCTTCATCTACTAAAAAGGAAATATATTGTGCGACAGATTTTCATAATTTCTACTTGGACACAGATTCGATTATGTTTGTTGTGGTTTCTTTATTTTTGTTTGCAATGAAACGCATGACATCAAAGGTGTCGGTTTAATGGACTGTTGCCTTGTCTTTATGTGAGTAAATTTTCCCTCCTTTACCTACCTTTTGTACAATAAACATCACATGCCAATTGTGAGACTTAACTGATTAAAATAACTATGCTAATCCATTATTGTTTCCTCTCTACAGAAGCGGCAATATTTGGCTTGGCCTTGTTTAGTGCACTTAATGTCTTAGACGCAACATCTTGCCGATCAAATCAAAATCTGGATTTTGATATTGACTACGAAAATCCTTGTTCTGTGGATGCGATTCCTTTTCGGCAACGGAGAGGTAAGTGATGCTAGCACTAACCCATTGCGCCTTAGTCTCGCGAAACAGACACTAGTATTCCCTTGTTGGGAATCGATAGGACCAGTGACAAAATTTCCCACCAAACTCACGTGGAAATTACTTCCTTTTGGCACGAACGAGTCTTGCATCGAATATAATTACATTTCCCCCCTGTTGTTCTTTACAGTACTATTGCACAGATAGCTTAGAGAAAATATTTTGATGATTTAAGTGCATCGAATGTATAATATGTATATATGGCATCAAAACCATATGCCGACATCAACTTTTCCATCGTATTTCTGTCCAGGTGTGCAATTGACTGTTTTTCCAATGAAGAGGACCCTTTTGGCATTGAGGCGACTTTGGAGGACATCTTGCCACAGAATAAAAGACGTGCTTAACATTTATGTAAGTTTTGAGAGAGATTTATTGTCGTTATTTGAAGACCAATCCAGTTATCAGTTAAAAGGCGAAGGGAATATTCCATACTATATCACAGCGTGAAAAAGGTCCAATCGTGGTGTTTGAAAATGAAATGTTTAGAAAATTAGTAAAATTCAACATTGGAAAAATTCTGATTTCAAAGTGATGTATAATTTCTGTTTACAGTCAGCTGGTCTAAGTGCCAACCTCCATACAAGCGAACTACAATGCGATTGGCACCAAAATGTAAAACCACAGGGCAAGCAACTCAACTTCACAGTATGTTTCAACTGTCCAGCGTTTGTACTCTCATGCTTAATGTATTTAAACTTTTTATTGAAACAGAGAAAATAATATAATATTGGAACATATAGACCAATGGAAGTCTCGTAAAAGGGTAGACTTTTTTAAATGATGTGTCTATAGTCATGATTTAAAATCTGTTGGTACCATTTTATATGATTTTTTATTCTTCTCATTGTGTACCCTTCTATGTATCGTTGCAGGAAGCACAAAACATCTACCTGGCCAGTCTTTTTACAGAAATGCTTAAAGCAACTGCAAGGTTGAATACTGTTTACAAATTGGAAATTTTTACGAAGGCGGATAGTGGAATGGTGGAACAGTCCATTTGCAGATTTTCCAACACCATGAGCGAACCTTTGTGTAAAATCAAAATTCTGTTAGGCGAAAATTACATCCCTATCGACTCCCAGATTCTAGAGAAAGCGAGAAAAATACAAGACCACGTATATGGCGAAGAATTACGCAGAACTGGCACCTATACTGCACTAAAAATCATGACGCTGCTGCAAGATCTTAAACGATTTATCGTGACTTTGACAACAAATTCTTTGAAATGAAAGGTCAAAACGACTCGAACAAACGGACTTTGAAACGCATTTATGATTATGCCTCATGATGAAGAGACTTAAATGAAGAAATATTTTATATCATTTTTCGCACATTTTATTTTGATAAGTTTATTTACACATTTTATACAAATTTAAGATATATTTTTTTACAAAAGAAATGTTTTATGCCAAATAAACTGTGGTAATTGCTAAATAGTAATTATACTCTAAGTGTCAAAACACGTATTTTTGTACGTTATTTTTATATGTACGTTATTTATATATTTATTTATGTAGAAAAAACAGAGATCTAAAAGAAGAATTGACAGTTTTCTTACATCTGTATATGTTTATATATAATATATACCTCATACATACCTCAATAAAGGTTTTTGCACAATACTTACAATATAGAAGATTTTTTATTTTAATTGGCGAAACATATCATATCACGTTGTAAAACGTTTTAAAAAGTTTTTATTTTCTTTTCCATATCTAACATGAATTACGGAGCAAAAAAATATACATGTTGTTCATCATTTATTAATATCTGGACCATGCACCCTCTCAAATCTGATAATCCACATTGATTTCCATAGACGTTAGAAAATGATCACAAAATTGACACCTCAAAACCGTCACCATGGCAACGCACCCGCTCACAGTTAGGTGAGTTACTTGTTGCGGAAAAATGTTGATACTAACCCTATTGAACACTTGTGGGATGAAATATGGTGCGCGGTGCACAGAATAATCAACCCCACTTACTGAACCAACTCCGCCATTCTCTTCGGAAGAAAAGAGCAGAAAAGTAACCCTTGTTGAATTGCATGTACACCGCCAATGGGAGATTATTGCAGTACGCGTGAGGAACATATGTTATTAGGCAAGTCACTTTTTGAGAGCATGAGAGCAAATCCCATTCATAAAAAAACGTTTAGGGGTGCTCTTTTGGTTTTTGCCATGATATGCTACAAATTGGAACATTTAAAAAGTGCCAAAAATTGAATTAAAATGGATTCCTCCAATACTAATGGCTATTTCACCTTTTCGATTTATTCACAAAACTGTATCCTAACACATCTTCAAGGTCCATTATGAGTTAGACGCATTCGTTTCTGATGTAGAGTTTTGATGTTTAATATGCAGGTAAAGCATTTTTAAAAACGCTGTAAGCATGGCATATCTAAGTCCAATAGATATTGTTTAAAAATCGCAAAACTCACCATACTTGGTCAATCATCACCCTAATCACCATTATTATTATTATTATTATTATTATTATTATTATTATTGTTGTTGTTGTTGTTGTTGTTGTTGTTATCCCCGCACTTTTGTGACCAAAGTGGGGCATGATATTAGTTTGAAATCTCCATGACATGTATAGTAGCAGCAAACACTGCAGTTAGTTCTAACTCGGGTTATGTACGTGCGACGTGCTATTTGCCCCCACTGTGGTCTTCCATACCTTTTAAGGGCCGACAGGAAGCAATAAAGACTATTAAAGCATGCTATCTTGGAGATTTCAAAACTTGCAGCTTGGATTGTTTTAAGAGGGTTCGACATGTTAGGGTTAATTAATTCATTAATTTTCCGCTTAGATGAAAGATATTGCAATGAGATAATACCGTCACATCTAACACGTTTACATCAGGGTGAATGTGTTAACTCGAGCTGATGACGTAACGACAGTGTTTTTGGGGGTCAGAATGATCAAGTTTTTACTGTTATAGAAGATAAGTATCTCAAATCGTGAAAACTCAAATTATTTAGTGAACAATTACTGGTACACGCATGACTGTAAGAAACAGACAGTTGATGGTAAAAGGGCACGAAACAAACAGATTGTGATACATTGCCCCAATAAAAGTACCAAAATGACAACGGGGGGGGGGGGGGGCAGCAAATTAACTCTTTCTATCAGATCACAGGCAGACGTAAGCAAAGATTCCAGATGGCATCACGCTGACTTACAAGCTATCAGTGCCAATAAATCCTTTCTCTACGAACAAAAATATTGGTCAAGTTTTCAGAGTAGCGGGAATCCAACGAAAAAGACTCAGTTGCCCCTCGAAGAAAATACTTGTCACTGACCTACATGGCTTTTTAGGACCTCCATGGATGTTAAGGACAAGGACAGCTATAATGGCATTGTACCAACATATCACATAAAGGCTGTGGCAACTGAAAGCCCAGGCCAGTAATAAGTCCACCAGTTCTGCATGCAGAAACACACAGACAACCACTTGTTCTTGCATAAAACCAACTATGGCCAATAAAGTAATGTTTATACTGACAAAGCAAGATGAAAACTCTTCTCTCCACGCCGTCTGCTCAATGCCATCACAAGCAATGAAACGAAGCTTACTGTCCAGCGAGCGAAAAGAGTCGGTGAAAGGGGTCAGCCAGACACTGGCCCCCGGTAATTTGATTCTGGTTTTAGAGTCAGATTGACTCCATGAGAGCCAGGGGGTGATTGACTCTGATATGAGAGTCTAAAGCTCTGGTAGTGGGGTAATTTGACCCTTATATAGGAGTCAAAATTACTCCATGAGGGTCAAGGGGTGCTAACTAGAGAGTCAAATGACTCCAGTTTTATTATCAGTGTTGTCATGGGGCAGCACTATCTGTCATGAAACTCCCTTGATTGTTATGGGTCTGTTCTGGATGTCATTAGACCGCATTGGCCCTCATGTTACTGTATTGATTGCCATGGGCAAATGTTGGCAGTCGTTATACAGTACTGGCTTCCTTGATGGGGAGAGCAAGTATTTCTAACGGGAAGATCACCACAGGAAAGAAAGTTTTCATGAAAACTAACCATCCAATTAAAAAAAGTCAACCTCCTAGAGAGACTTTATTCAGTCAGCAATAAGCTAAATACTTCCGCTAAAGAGATCAGTAGCTGTAAATTTTGCTTCGTCTCGTAAATGCTTTTCACTAAAAGGGGTTAACGTGCTCCGGGAATTTACCCACGTCTTTTTCTTCAGGGGAAGTTTAAAAACGGCTTTCCGACAGATAAATGCTGCGGTTTACAACCTGATGTCACCTATGAGTGTAGTGTAGACACAGATGCGACGCACAAAAGGGCATCTCATGTATACGGGTTATCATTTGGTTAGGTGAAAAGGAAAACACTGAAGGGACTCAAAACTATGTGAACACGAGTGCGTTTAAAATCGAAAAAAGTAAATAAAAATAAAAAATATAATAATTCATAGGTTAGCATTATACTGTAGTATGGTATGTATTGTGCTTGTAGGTGTGTTTACGCGCAGCAAGTTCGCCAACTTTTATCTAGTGACGTTAACCTGCATTTAAGTATTGGCTTCTTTCTGGTAATATCTGTCCAAAAATTGCCGTTTCAAGTAATACAAATGCTCAAAACAGTAGACAACTGTCAAAACTCAGACATGAGTTTCAGTTCTAATTAAAACGTTTTATTGGGTAATGTCTAAACAAACAAAACATTTGTCAAAAATATGTTGACAAAAAAAGGGACATATATTATAAGGAAATACTAATCCCACGCAAGACCCGCCAATATGTCCAATAAACAAACCTAACAAACAACAGAGATAAACTATAAATAATAATTAAAAACCAGCCACGAAATCCACCAATTTTTAAGTGCTAATAGTGCGAATACTAAGAATATACTAGTTTCACCATTATTCTAGCAATTGTTAAAACTCACATAACAGGAAAGTATTTTTGTAAGTATTTTCCGAGATGAACAATTACTCCCAGTAGTGGAGTTGTGGGTTCTACATTGTCGTCATTCTGTCCCTTCAGGGTGATGTGATAAGTGACGAGTTGACGTGCTACACATTACATTCATCTACATGTTTAAGTATCAGCAAGGAAACGCCCCTCAACACCTAATCAAGTATAAAAGGACGTTTTCTCTTATAAGGGAGAGCAAATCTGACACGGAATGCCAAAACAGAATGTTCGTGTAACATTGACCTGCTGGTTATTATTTATAAATGGTGAACTGCTGCATTTGATCAAAGATTACCTCAACCAACCATGAGACTTTTTCTGGGTAAGTTAATGGTTTAAATATGTTTGACAAGCGTGTAGAATGTTCCATGTTGTTCTGGGTGTTCGCAGAATTACTGTTTTTGTTTTTTGTTTGTTTTTTTTTTTTTAAATCAAGTGGTCGAATAAATAGTTATTTTCAATGCCAATTTCAACATTTCTCTTGGTTTTCGTATGACAGAATTTTATAACCCAATACATAAGGTTACAATTATACTAAAAGGCAGTTTCATGTTGTACAGATCCGTGAAATATCTTTGCTTGCTGACTGTTTCGTGTCGCGACTCAGCTGACTTTATCACATCTGAGTCAAGCAGAGAAGATGGTAAAATTACCGAGTCATATAATTGCTATGCACAGTGTTTAGCCTAATTTGTTCATTTTCTCAGCAGAAAGATATTGACAAATTACTCTAATTAATGACATAAAAACATAAAGAAACTGCCTTTCTTAGTTCTTAAAAGAACTCCAAGTCTTTTTTAAAATGGCCGCCGGGGGTGTATTTTCATCATATCACCACTTCTGAGGGAATCTATAACTTAGTCTTCATTATTTATTTGTGAACCAATATTGTCAAAATTTTCCATCCATTAAGATGTGTAAACAATTTCTGGTGCTTTGATAATTTGACATCACAAAACAGCAGTTAATCCAACACTGGGCAAAATCATGACGCGTAAATCTTTATAATAACCATCATTATTGGATTTTTTGTGCTGTTGTTTTTTATTTTATTATTTTTTTTATTCCATTTAGATGTTTGACTTGGCTATTACTTTAAATTGACATGACATTTCCCTTGAAACTTTGGTGACCACGCGCAAAAACGAACAGAAAACCATGTTGACAGTTACAGTCACGTTGTGACATTGTTGCAGACAGTTACAGTCACGGAAGTGACGAAATCTTGCAGAATTCCGCAAAATTCAAATCTCAGTACTGTAGCCGTATACGTGTTGAGGTGTTTGTCTTGGCTATTACTTTGAAATGACATGCCATTTACTGCTGTCCGCTGAATGTTTCTATTTGTTTTCTCTTCAAATAATAACATATAAGAAGGACACTGTGAGTCAGTGGGTGATAATTTTATTTCCAGATATGCAACAATATATATTTTAAGTAGTATGGGCAAGTTTCACTCTTGTATTAATTACGAAAATAAACAAACCAAACTGGCCATATTAGTTTGTTGCGTAGATTTTTGGCGGCCATATTGGGAACAAGGGTCATCTAGATCGTTTACTGCTGGTTCCATAACTGTGTTTCTTACAATCTGGACAAGGTTATATTAATTATATCTGAGATAGCAATTCAA